TAAATTGTAATTGTCGGTACCTATTGAAGATACTATGGGTCGAAAAGGAGGTGTTTCATTAGGCTGAACAACATAATTAAAAGGAAACATATTCAGTGTGAAAGATTCAGTACCGCTAGGTCTACGTTCGCGTGTCGTTTATAAATTTTCGTGTGCTGGCTGTAATGCCACTTACATTGGTGAGACCACTCGCCACATTTGTACACGAGTTCGTGAGCACCTCTTGTCGGACAAGCCTTAGCATATTTACAGGCATCTGCAAACATCAAGGGCCTGTCTTGACTCTTGTGGTACAGAATGTGTCGCGATCCTAGATTCTGCCGCCCCAAAATTTCAAATTAAGATCAAAGAAGCATTGCATATTAAGTGGGAAAAACCCACTCTTAATCAACAATTGAAACATCTAGATTTGTCTCTTTCCTTTTGATTATGTTGTTCCTTTTGTCTTTTATTTATTTATTATTATTATTATTATTATATTTTTTTTTCTGGTCCAGTTATGCGCGAGCTATTTTCATCTTTCGCGTATTTAATATTCAAATTTGTAACGTAAGCCCTGACACGTAATTTGTAACGTATCTTAATATAAACTCAAATATGCAACTGAAGATGACAGGAGAATGTCGAAACGTGTCTTGTAAATTGAAATTTAAAGTTGTCGTTTCTTTACTGAGGGCTTTTATCCATTCAGATTTTAAGGTAACTTCAACGAGTACAGCAAATTATACTGATGATGGCATGAGTCATATCAAAAACAGGTTTTTAAAAAGTTATTATTATGAGGTTGAAATTTATATATATTTCATAATTCTCGATATCCTTTTTTTTATTCTACGATCCGATCCGCACTCTGACTTAAGATGCAGTCCGTAGTCCGTTCTTGATCCTGTCCGTGATTCGGTCTTGGTTGTGTCAACACCGAATCAGATGTTTTCTTTATGATCGCAAATGAATTCAACAGTAGCTTTTAGTTTGCGAATTTAAATGATAGATAGAATACGAGTGGGAGCCCTTTACGGACATTTAGCGCAAGCCATGTTAAAGTCCATGAAGGGCGGACGCGACTATTTTCTTACTTGTGAAATGAGACCTTGACAATTAAATAGATTGCGTTTCTAATGTTCATCGCTTGGGCGTGCAGTTGTCCCATAGGAGTTTGGAAATATTCAGCATTGAATTACAGCAATCATTTTCATATAGTTTTGAAGCTTTACGAATATGTTCGAGATCGGACCGTTCCACTAAAGTATATGTCGCCAAATACGCTAAACTTTTGTTTCTTAGAGCTGGCGAACACATTACTTAAGCTCTGGAGCATTTTTGCTAAAGAAAATTACATTATTTTCGTTGAAAGTTTTTCTGAAACGTTTCACGACAGCCTTAGAGATTTGAAGAAGAAGCCTCGTTTTATAAAGCATAAGTGCCATGAGGTGGTCATCAGCATGATCGACGTTTGGCTGCATTGTATTCAGTTTGTATCAGTTAGATGCAAAGTTCGGCTGCAAGTCGTTATCTAAAAAGTAATATTTGCAGGCTTGTAAACGTTTAGATTGTATGTAGACAATAGAAAGATGAAATTCTAAATACAGTTAACCATTCTTTGTTTAATATTATAGGTGACAAATTACTCTTTAATTTTGGCGGGAAGTTGCATCGTCAATTTTTAAGGAGGCTGGATATAGTTTCTTTGGCGCGCACAGGCTGGGTTCTAATTTACCCAGGACTTTTATAAAGTTGCAAATAAAAAAAAATATGGCCGCCGCGCTCAGGCCAAAATTACTTTTTCATCCGCCTAGTGGACTATGTTTTACGCCTATAGGTAGGCTGCCTACACTTTCTTCTAACTTTACTAGTAGTGTCTTTCAAAAACGGAAAGCTACAACACTCTCAAGTGATCAAAATACTCGTGAATCCGGCCGCAAACACGATCGCGATCGTCGAAGCTATTTTCCCATATCGTGGCTGGTTTCGGGAACACTATATTTATCCGATTCTTCCACTGCGAACTGTGTTGGGGAGGACATTGGTTGTGGAGGACGTGGATCGTCTCTAAGTGAAGAGGAACAGAAACAGAAACAGCAACGCCGATAACTTCCGGATTCCCGCTGCGTGACATTTCAGGTCGCTTTTCGTCGTCAAGTAAAACCATTTTTGCCGCAAAAAAACAACGCAGCTGCAAAATGTCAGAGCAGAGAGGACGCTGGTCTTAGATTCTGACGATGAAAGCCCTCAGGAGGTGAAAAAAGTCACCAGAACTAGTTTGGTAATTCTGCTTTTTCACTGCAAATGTAACATTTTAAGTCAACATGCGCTGTCACGAAATTTCGGGGTTATCCGGTGTAAGGTTGTAAAAACCTTACAACTGACGTCACGATAAGGGTTGGCCAGTTGGGTCATTTGGGCCATTTGGGCCAGTTGGGTCATCTGGGCCAGTTGGGTCATTTGGGTCATCTGGGTCAGTTGGGTCATCTGGGCCAGTTGGGTCATCAGGGCCTGATGGGTCATCTGAGCCAGTTGGGTCATCTGGGCCAGTTGGGTCAGCTGGGTCATTTGGGCCAGTTGGGCCATTTGAATCATTGGGTCATCAGTTAGTTCTTAAACCGGGTTAATTGGGCCAGTTGGGTTAATTAGGCAAGTTGGGTCATTTGTTACCAGGGGGGTGAATATTTTTCCATCGCTTTCTCGCCACAACTGCCAAAATACAACCGCTAACGCAGCGCCTGTCAAATCAATCTAGATTTTCCCGCCATCAAAGGAAGCTGGTTGTAGGTTCAAAGATAGTTTTTCGGTCCTCGGTATCAATAACATGGACACTCAAAGTAATATAACATCGACTACGGATCTGATATCTCAGCTGAGCCAAATTATTCTTCCAATTGACAAAGTTGTGCCTCAACGTCTTCGTCAATGGCTGTCTGCGTTCGCTTGAAGCAAGGGCACCACGAGCGAGATGCTTCTCTGTTCAACTTTGGTGTCAACGAGCTATTTGCTCGGCCAAACAACCTTAAAGCTGTTTGGTTCCTACGCGGAGAAAGAAAATCTCCATCTCCTCGATCCCTACTGCCCCCTTTGGAACGGGAAAAACACCAGCGTGCCAGAAGGG